ATCATAATCACCCTATCACTAGCAAGAAGAACCATTGAGTTCGTTTCTAATGAAACATTAGTAGTTCTATTGAATGCTGAATGTTCGACAAAAAAAATAATCTCGATGAGTTTTTAAGAAGAGCTCAAGCTTCAAAAGATCAGAAATCAATTTACACAAGAAATAAGCTTTCAACGCAAAGATCAGAAGTCATTATTTGTTCATCAGAAGAGTTGTTGCTCATAGTTCTGAAGACAATATCAAGATTCTGAAGACTGGGATAGTTTATGGAATATGCGCATTTCTAATCAAAAGCTATGATCTCAAGATATCAGAAATGAAGATCTCAGATATTAGAAAGGAAAAGAATTCAAGATCAAAAACCAAGATGTAGCTGATATAAGGTGTTGCTTCCAACTTAGTTCAAATATCAGAATTCAAGAGATCAAAAAGAAAGAATTCAACGTCAAAACCAAATGTATTGATATAAGTTGTTTCTCTAGAAATCAAACATCACACATGTAGCTCAGAAAAACTGTTATCAAAAATCAAGATCAGATCAAGAAATAGTGGATCAGAAAAGCTTTCATTCACAAACAAATAAGTTGTTCCTCAAACTAGTTATTGCTTGTATATCTGAAGACAATGTTCAAATATCTAAAAGGCTCTAACTCCACAACAAATAAGTATCTTCTGGATTATTTCATTCATAAATTAGAAGTAATCCATCAAGAAGAAAATAACCAAAGCTCATAATTTAAAGACTTGAGGATCAGAAAGGTTGTTGTCACAATATCTGATTTCAAGATCAAAACATCAGAAAAGCTTTTAATATTAACCTCAGAAAAGCTTTCACCGAAGACGACATGATTTTTATCTCAGATAAGTTGTTGCTTATATATCCGAAGACAAGAATCCACTAATGAAAAGATTCTAAAATGAAACATATTCTCACTCAATCTTCATCTCTCAGATCAGATAAGAAATACACATTCAAAGTCTAGTTATAAGATTAGAAGTCAAGCTTCGTGTTTCAGAAAAGCTATTTCTATTATTTATGAAGACATGTCATGGTTCTAACAACTCTGATGTTTCTATGCTATAGCAAAAAAGTAGTTTCTGAACTACTCATCAGTTATTCATCGGAAGAATAAAGACAAAGTAATTGATCTCTTCCAAGCTTAATACTTCAAAATCAGAAGTACATCATCAGAAGATAAAAGATCAAGAAACTTAGTCAAGAAGAATACAGTACAAAAAGTACACCATAAATTCCATTATGATAATATTGGTTGTACTATTCACAGAAGTTGTCTCCCATGATCTTATGCTAACAACTGCAAGCAGCAGGCTAAGGAAAGTGATGTTTTATACTGTTCCAACCCTCTTTTGAGTCTATTTGTTGGGAATCAACCATTAGGAGGAGAAAGGACTTTTCTATCCTTACAACGACTCTTTTTGAAGGCTATATAAGAAGATCTAATGGACTGATTGCAATTTGACGAAGTTGATCATATTGACGAAGATGAATTCCACAAACACAAAATGAGAGATAAAAAGAAGATATGAAAAGAAAGAAGAAGAAGCAAGGAGTTGTTGCTCATAACTTGCTTAACAAAGAAGATGAAGATGAAGATGAAGAAGACTACAAGATGATGCACTCAAACTTAGATTATATTCTGTTAGAACAAGATTTGGTTCTGCAATATTATCTCTGAGTTTTGATGATAACAAATGAGTATATTTGTATGGAAAATTTTGATACTCTAATGTTTGTTATTTTTTAGTATTTAACAAATAGGTTTTGATTCTGATGGATGGCGTGACCAAGATATTAGAAGAGAATTAATTTCCCTACTATGCTACACAAGTTTTGATGAGCATTAGCAAGACACTCCAGAAGACTCTAAAGTCTAGGCTCTAATATGAAGTCTAAAGAAAAATTCAGAAGATCTGAAGACAAAAGTTTCTACTTAAGTCTAAATTCTAAAGACTCATGTTTCCAAAGACAATGTGTTATAAAGAAATAAGTCAGAAGATCTGAAGACAGAGGTTTCTACTTAAGTCTAGATGCTAAAGACTCATGTTTATGAAGACAACGTGTTATAAAGAAACAAGTCAGAAGATCTGAAGACAGGAGTTTCTACTTAAGTCTAGATGTTGAAGACTAATGTTTCTGAAGACAAAGGGTTCTAAAGAAACAAGTCATAAGATCTGAAGACAGAAGTTCTACTTAAGTCTAGATGCTAAAGACTCAAGTTTCTAAAGACCCGAGGTTCTAGAAAAGCTTATCACGACCAAATGCTGAAGACTCTGAAGACGTGGTTCTGAAGACTTTAATTTATAAAGACCCAAGGTTCTAGAAAAATATCTCAAGACCAAGTGCTGAAGTTTCGAAGACATGGTTCTGAGTGAACAAGTTCTGACGACTGAAGACTTGATTATCTGGAGATTCAAATGTCACGATTCTACTCATGCTTCAATTATCTACCATCAGATGCCTCTGAAGTTTCGAAGACAAATGTTATTGTTAGCAATGATAAGTACACGGTACAAAAAAGCCTTATCCCACTACCTCTCCACTAGCTTGAATTGTGGAAAAGAAAAAGAAGTGGCAGTACCATTTTGATTATTGTGTAACGACTCTTTTTCAATAGCTAATGATTCTATTTTTCTTGGCTATATAAGAAAAGGATCATCTGCTTAAAGTTCGTTGGTGTTTAATGTTCAAATGAAAGTTGTCATTATTGGAACACAACCAAAAACGATTAACCACTATAACAACAACAAGAACAATTGTTATCAAAATGATTCTTGAATCATGTTGTTGATGATTACAAGATAGAAATGAAGTCATTGATTCACAAAATGCTTAATTTCATATACTGCAAGAAGCTTGCTAAGCCACATAAGATAATGAAGATGATCATGGAAGCTCTAATTACAAATCCACAACATGAATGTTGTGATTTAAGGTGATCGTTGAATTAAATAGAACAAGGGTTGTTGTGCATAATATTCTAAGATGAATCAAGATAAAGAAGTTATTCTCTTTACTACATCAGGATCAACGAAGCTTTTGGAAGCTTATGAAGAATAAGACTTCAGTGATTCAAGTGCTTTGGGATGTTGTCTATGAAGAAGCTACTTGAAGAAAAGAAGAACACACTTTTGCTCATATCTTTCTAAAAGCAAGGAGTTGTATCATATGTAAAAGCAAGGAGTTATTTCTCATATCTTGCTAAACACTTTTGTGTTTTATCATGTACTTAAATTAGGAGTAATCTTCTTGATAAGAAGCATTATTGTAATCTCCACAAAAAAAAAACAATTTTGTTTAGAATTGGTTTTACCTCAAGTGATCGAGTGAAGATCTGTATACTTGAGAAGACTTTGGCAGCTGGTCATTGTAGATGAAATTCTGTTAAGAGACCATGATTGGTCAATTCTTATAGGGTCAATGATCGCTATATTTCTTAGGGGACCAGGAAGGTCAGAATTCTTAAGAGATCACTAACATAGGATTATTGTGAGAAATCCTGTTAAGAAAGACCAGGTTGGTCAGAATTCTTAAGGGGTCAATGATTGTGGATCATTGTTTGGTTGTCAGTCACCAGCTGGTAGCTCATGCATTTGTAATCAGTTTGGTTATAGTGGAATAAGTCCTTGTCTAAGGCAAAATCACCTGAGGAGGATGGACAAGAGTAACTTTGTTGAAGGTGAACCTAGATAAATCGAATGTGTCTCTTTATATTTCTAGCATTCTATATTTTATCATAGTTTTAATCAAATTGTTTTTAAAAGGGAAAAGTTTTAAAAATCTAATTCAAACCCCCCTTTATTGTGTTTTTCTCTACCTTCAATTGGTATCAGAGCCCGACTCTGTTATTGATTTTTTAATCACACACTTAAACGTGAAGAGAGATCCAGTAAGAGAAAAACTATGAATGTGAAGAGAGATCCAGTAAGAGAAAAACTATGAATGCTATTGTCATACCCCAAATTTGTCCGCCCTTTATTTCTACTGTCAAAAATATTTTTAACATCGATTTTATAATATTCTTTAATCTTTATAAATATTCGCTTCCAAACCTATTTAAAAATATAATGATTTATTTCAGATCATTTTCATTTTTGAATAAATAAATATTTGCTTGACCTTCGTATGCTTTCAAAAGCCTTTTTATTTCGAATAAATAAGGTAGCACGATTGGTAAAGAATGAAGCTTACAAGTATGGGCTAACTTACTGGATAAGTATTTTTAACCTAATTCTCACAAATCCATAATTCATCAACAAATCAACAAAATTTCCAACACCATCCTGCTTTTACAATTATTTTTGGTTTAGTGTTGTTGACTATATCATACAACAATCTCATTCACAATTTTGGTCGATGATTCAATATGAAGCCTCCAGTTGATTTTCAATTTTTTATCTCCTCTTAATTTTTAAATTGTTTTAAACACCACATGATATTTATCTAATGATAATTTATTTTTCTAAATTATATTTTTATTAAGTTTGGGGGCCGCGACCATTCACACACCACTAAGTTCCACAATACAAATTCCATATACTTTTTTTGTTTTTGGTTCGTATAGTAAATTGTTTTGTCAAAACCCTTGAAACCTTCACCTTTGTACATATTTATTTCAAACACACACTCATGTACAATCCATCCATTCGCCAATCTAAAAATACTACTTTCATCACAACACAATTTTTGAACCATAATAACACCAATTTTCACACAGTACATAAGCTCTCCCAAATCCAAAATTCTTAAGGATCAGAGAAAACATAACAATCAAAACTTGCGACACAACCTGCAAGAGAAATCTAAATAAAACCAGAAAAAAATTCTAGAAACAGAAGAAGATTTCAATTGCAATATTAACATCGCAGAAACCTTTCCATTTCCTCCTGCAAGCAGTCCCACGCCAGTCGGCTACACCGCCGTAGCCGACAATTCTGCATCAGCACCATACACTGAATCCACTACGAAGCAACAACGCCGCTTACTCCATCCTCCACGACCGAACCTCTGCTGCACAACACCTCCTCCATCCTAATCGCTGCCACCATTTCGCGCCCCTTTTGCTTTTCTTTCGAACAAATTTATGTTGTGTTATGTTTTTTTGTTTTGTTTCAAGCAAATGAGGAAGAAGCGAAAGAAAAAAAAAAACACAAACCTGCAAAAAATTAAACACACAATTAACAATCAACTTCAAAAACAGGGTAACAATAATTTGCAATTAAAATCTGAAAAAAAATTATTGTATTGTTGTCTCTGTTTGTCATTGTGCAGATAAAAAGATGAAGAAACATGATAGGTTGCCTCGCAGTTGCCACGACCATCAGCTCCTATCAATAACATCGCTCCGACGTTGCACCACTCCATGCAGATCTCCAATAGCAACGACACCTCACGATGTCGTTGCACCGTCCTCGATTCACCACTCCCCTGCAAACAACGATCGGCAACACTGTCAAATGCACACATTTTCAGATTCTAACATATGAATTTCTATGTGTTTACTTACCAATTTTACACAAGTAGATGCTAATTGGAAGAGGCGGAAACCATACGAAAAAACCACGACATCCTCTGCCATAAATCCACATTCGCGTGCTAGAGTTGCCTCGACAGTAACGTCCTCCCTCCGACTGCACATTGCCACACACCATATCGGCAACCGACGATAACCCTCTATAAACCAGTAATTATGCTTCCGCCAAAAATGCACACATCATCAACAACCGACCACGCCCCATCCACCATATGATCTGCATAATGGAAGCGCCATGGATCCGAGAACACGACCACCACCGCGCCCAACTCCACTTGCCGTCGTCACGGAAATCGGGCCGCCGCTCGCTCCCTCTGGATCGTGTCAGCCACCCCTCACTTACATACCAGTCGCGCCTAATTTACACATGAGATAAGAGATTTTCAGGTTTTATCGGTTTGTGTGAAAATGGAGTTATTGTTAAGAAGTGAGCGAATGATAGAGAAAGAAGAGAGTAATTACCCCTATTTCCCTTTCCTTTTCTTTTTGTACTATCTATTTTCAATGTTTTTTTTCTTTTTTCATTTAATTTCCACAAGTCCTCTTTCTATTGGTTATTTCTAGTTTTGAATAAGTCAAGCTTCATCATATTGTTAACCAAGGGGCATCACCCTCTATCTCCTAACAGGTTAGCTTTTGTTAATTTAATTTTTATAATAATATGATCATTAGATTAGGGTTTTAGGTGTATTGGTCTTTACGGCCAATTCTATTTTTACTATTTTACTCAACTGTGTCACTCTATGACTTACGTACCCTTTGCTTCTATTTTATTTATTTAAATAGATGTACAAAAATATCATTTAATTCACTTAGTTTATTTTAGTTTATGATGTAGGTTAGTCAAGTAAAAAATATATAATAATTAAATTAATAGCTTTTACATAAATATAATTTTTTTAATTAAATTAATTCAAACATTCTATAAATAATAGGATGTCCATTTTCGAGTAATTAAATTGGCCGACACATCATCTACCAGTTTATTGTTCAAAATCAAATATTAAAATCCACACAATTCACCAAATAATCCATCTGCGAGCGACACGTGGCCAATATTTGACCACGTGATGAGGAGACTATATCAGACTCTCCTGCACTACGTCTTAATATAGATAACCAATCAAAAACTATTTTTTACTAACATAATCAAAATCACACGATATTTTCAAAAAAATGATTAAGGAGAATTTTTTTCGAAATTAACTACGAACTACGTCTACGCTCACACAATTTTCAACCCAAACAATGTTCAAGGATAAATTCGAAAGAAATTCTACGCAATCCTATAAAAAAACACCAACCAACTGCGAACTACGAATTGGGACTCTGATTCCTCCTAAGAGGATACGTAGGCATACGACTAAAATCGTAGCGAGTTCTCCAAATAAAAACTAAAACCCTAATTCTTAAAGATTGTGCTTCTAACCCTAGTATCCTTGTGAACAAGGTAGATGATGGGTGTCTAACATTTTCCCTTTGTCTAAGACCGAGTCAAAAACCTAGAATCTCTAACTTTTAGGGTTATCCTTTATATTCTCTTTCTTAGGATAAAAATTAAGGGTCGCGACTCTCGTTTTAAAACCAGTTACAACAGCTGGCAACTCTATTGGGGACTCAGCCTTAGGGTTTAGAAACCTTTTCTTTTGGTTTAGGGTTTTTAGGGTTTCTTTTATTTATTCTTCTATTTTCTCTTTATTTATTTATTATTGTTTATTATTATATTTATTACATTTTTTCATCTGTGGTGGGATTTTATTATTTCAAAAAAAAATATTTTTCAAAACCCTTAGAAAGAAGGTTCGTCTATTAGCCAAGGGGATACATTAGCCCTATGAGTTTATGTGATAACTTCGCATAGAGTCAATGGAATTCCGCGAAAGGAATACGTCTCAAGAGACATCCTCTTGAGAAGTAGGACTTTGGAATGACACCTATGACTCTTTGTACAACCCTTAAACCAAAATCTCATGACGTGAACTTGCACGACCTAAAGATGAAAATTTTGATTTGTAAAGAGGCTCCACCTAAGGGAGGCCCTTGTGCCTTTCTCTCTAGTGTTATTCATGATACCCTTAAGGAAACCACCTTATGGGAGGGTAGAATATTCGTAGGCCAATACTAGGAACCTAATAACTAAGGATATCTTTCACAAATCCCACTACAATACCTAAACTGCAAGGGTTATCTTTTCTTCCACTACTATCTTTATCCCGTAGGACTTCTATATTTTTATGATATAACCCCTAGCGAGTGGGGATTTTCTTTCGAAAATCTTAATCTTTAGCTGGTATGGATCCCCTTTCATCCGACAGTATCCTTAGCACTCTTATAGTATCTTGTTCATCTTCCCACGAAGGACGTCCTCGTTAATGCATACCATATGGCCTATATCAGGCATGGGATCTGGTGACTTTTGACTGGTCACCATGTTCTCTCTTCCATATTATTCCCTCAAGTCCAGCCTTCATCTCAATCGTTCATTGGTTTATCACAATTTCTAGCCAGTGGGAATTCTCATCCCTCTGTTATAATCCTTAGCCTATAGGGATTCTTCTTCGTGTTTCTTTATCCTTAAGGACTTCCTGTCTGTCTCAATCTCCGAGTCAGTATAGGATATCCTCATTTCCATGTCTATCATTATCTTTGTCCTTAAAAATTTCTCGTCTGTCTCAATCTCTGAGTCAGTTTAGGACATCATCATTTCCATATCTACCATTAAACCTCTATATGTGTAATACGGTAGGGAAACTGACTTTTTGGTTTTTATCCAAAATGTGTGGATAGCTAGAGTTGCTACCGACTTTTATTTTTTCCAATATATGGAATGACCGAAAAGAACAGGAAATACCTTGATATATTTTGACTTTGGGGGGTAAGTTATGAAAAGGAAAGGTGTTAGCACTCTTTTCATCCGTAGTTATCTACGGGCTCTTAACCGCTAGCTCACTTTTTGAAATTTGCTTTGTGTGTGTGATTTGTTTGAAAATATTTTGAAAAACTAACTTTGTAATGATTCTTGTATCAGTCCTCAAGAATGCATACAAAGTGTTGAAAATATTTTGAATGCCAATTGTGAGGCAGACTTTGTAATAATTCTTGTATCAGTCCTCAAGAATGTATACAAAGTGTTTTTTTGAAAATATTTGTTTTGAAACGTGAGGTGTAAAAATGAAGTTGTTTGTTTGAAACTGTTATGAGCAAGCAATTTGTTGAGTTTTACCCACTAAAGGTCGTTCTTATTATTTTCCTTCCCTGTTAGAGATAGTACTATCCACACCATTAGTTGGTAGGTAGCCCTATATATTGGATGTGAAGGGACATGCGTAGGGTCGTCGTATGATCATAGAAGGAAACATGTAAGGATACTTTAGCAATTCGAAGGGACTATCATCATTTTTCTCGTAGAGTCATTGAAGGGACTAAATCATTTTGTAGGCAACTCAAAGGGTAATCGAGGGATTATGATCTTTATTCGAAAGGGACCATGATGATATTGTTTAACCGAGAGTCTTTACTAAAGTATTCCCGTTTTGGTGGGACGTGACCATTAGTATCGCAAGGCAACAGAGAGAGGTTACCCTAGAGGTGAAGTGTTCAAAGTGTATTGATTTCAGTTATGTTATCTTGAAAATTAATGTTATCTATGTTTGATTTTATTCTTATCATACAAGCCTATTTCCTAGCAGTTATACAAACATATAAAGGCAAAAGATAAAGCAAGAATGTAAGTCTACGCTATTACAGGGCTTTGGGAGAGTTACATAATTAGAAAAGATACAGGGATGTAAATCTAAACTATTACATTAAACTGTGCGACCTATACAATTGTCTAAGAAAATAAATAGCAAAAAGAATAAGAAAATGTTGGAAAAAAAGTTTAAATGCTCCAAAAATCTAAGTTCAAATTTTTGGTGTTTTTATGAAAATAATTTAAGTGTTAAGTAATAATAATTAAAATCTTAATTCTAATCGATCTTAATTAATAAAAAGCTTAAAATCTAATTGTTCAAAAAAATCAATAAATTAATTTACACCCTAAAACTAATTTTTTGTTGATTTTATTATATGGCTTCTTTCTGATTTTTTTATGTATAAGTTTTGATTAAAAAAAGTTAATTAATAATAAAATAACTAATAAAAAAAGGAAAATTAAGAAAGTAAAGCAAAAAATGTTTTGGCATCGATGGGGTTCGAACCCCATCCATTCTCTTCACACGCTTGGTTCCAACATGTTCTATGTTTCTTGTTTAACACATCTGGACATATGAAACTTATTAATAACACAAGGATTAAGAAATTTGAAGTTAGAAAATCCTTATCACATGTGTGATTGAGGGGAGGCGTTATGGGCACGGTTGAGCGTGGTTATGGACTTGAGGAGGTTCATGGGGATGTTAGGATGATGATTCGAGGCTTCGTTTCGGTTGAGAATGGATGGACAACTAGATACGATTTGTACCTATTCTTTGAAAATTTTGTGTTTGAGAACTTGTTTCTATGGCAGTCAATCCCCCCTTTGTCTTATGGAGTGTGTCCTCTATTTATAATAGATGATTTTTTAAGTTAACATTCTTGGTAGGAAACATGTGCAATCAAAGTCATTATTTGTTTCAAAAACAATTGCAAGACTTTCCAAAACATGAATATCTCTTTCCTTCTTCATCCCTCACGGTTTTTTTATCTTGGATATGTGATCTTGGGTTTCAAAATGATCCAAAACAAAAGGCCACACGCCTTGTACATTTATTTAATATTTGTTTAATTTAATTTTGAATTTAAATGAATAAAATCAAAATAAACGAAATGAAAAATTAAAATAATGCATGAATGGACTAAGGGGGACTTAAACATGTCATAGACTTGTTTGAACTTCAAAAGTTAGGCCCATTAGCCTAAAAGTCCAAAATTGCTCAATTGTGGTTTCATGCATTTTCTCAAAATTACTCAACTTTCACCAATCATAACTCTCTCAAATTTTATCATATGAATGTGATCTTAGACTTTTTGGAAATCTCAAGATGTCCCCTACAACTCTCATGTTGGTCACTTTTTCATTTGAAGTTTTTAACTTTATGTAAATTGCTTTGACAAATAATGTCTTT